ACGCCGCGGGCAGGGCGACGCGGCGAGCAGGGGCGACGCCGCGGGCAGGGGCGACGCGGCGGGCAGAGCGACGCGGCGGGCAGGTGGCGACGCCGCGGACAGGTGACGACGCCACGGGTCTGCAGGGGCGGCTCTCGGGCCTGACGGGCCTGCAGAGGCGGCTCGGGGGCCTGACGGGTCTGCAGAGGCGGCTCGGGGGCCTGACGGACCTGCAGGGGCGGCTCGAGGGCCTGACGGACCTCCAGGGGCGGCTCGAGGGCCGTACTAGCTTGCAGGAGGCAGCGCGAGGGCTGCAGGATGGCACGCGGGCAGACCGAAGGGCGGGGCGCGCGAGGGCGCACTAGCAGAAAAAACAGGGCGCACGAGGGCGCACGAGCAGAGAAAGGCGCACGAGGGCGCACGTAAGGTAGGGCGCACGAGGGCTCTTCTAGCGGAATAGTGGGCCCGTAGTAGAAAGCGGTCCTAGGTGGCAACCTAGGCTCGTGATACCATGTTAGAATGAACAAGTGTGTTTGAACTAGCAGGATTGGGAGTACAAGTAGGAAACCCTAGAATGTTGTACCCCCTAAGGCTAAACCCACTATAGCCTACAGAATATAAACATATACAATGTTTGACAATCTCTGCGTCCATGGCTGTCTGCCACTGAGAGGAGTAGGGACCCGTAATCGCCTCTGCGTAAGAGCGCGGGGTCGGGATGTCCAGTGCATCCAGGTCTCCCTCAGGTGCAAGCAGCATGGCCACGAGATGAGGTACAGCAGCTGCACGACACTCAAAGTAGGGTTAGTGACAACAGTGGCTAGGAGGCGTGTGACAGTAGGGCTGGCAGCACGAACCAAGTCAGACTCAGGGTCCGGAACGTTAGGAAGAGAGGACTCCGGAGGAGATGGCAGGGGAACTCACAGTCGAACAGAGGAAGGACGAAGTGCCATAGTGTGAGTGCCGGGGACAGGAGGAGGACGCGGACGAGGAACACGGCGACCATTGCGAGCAGCGCGAACAGGCGAGGCAGGACGAGACGCAGGCTCACGACGCTCTGTAAGAGAGTCTGTCTGCTCAGTGTAATGAGAAGGAGCAGGCAGTGGGGAGTCTGGCTGTAACTGTGGCTGCGACTGGTCAGGCGGTGGACACAGTAAGGGAGGAGTAAGGCCAGTGGAAGACGGGAGACTAAGAACCTGGCGAAGTACCGAGCCAGGTGGCGGCAGAGACGACGGCGGCGGTGGAACGAAAAACGGTCGCCGCTGCACAGTGCCTCCAGCACCACTACCGCCAGCTCCAGCGCCCCCAGCGCCAGCACCTCCAGCTCCAAGGCCTCTAGCACCAGCGTCGCCAGCTCCAGGGTCTCCAGCTCCAGCGCCTCCAGCTCCAACGCCTCCAGCTCCAGCGCCACCAGCTCCAGCGTCTCCAGCTCCAGTGCCTCCAGCTCCAGCGCCTCCAGCTCCAGCACCTCAGGTACCTCCAGCTCCAGCGCCTTCAGGACCAGCATTACCTCCAGCACCTCCAGGACTATTAGCTCCAGCGCCTCCAGCTCCGGTGCCTCCAGCGGCAGGTCCTCCAGCTCCAGCAGCGCCACTCCGAAGGCAAGTGCGCCGAGCAAACCACTCGCGCAGCTGCCGCAATGAGAGAGGCTCCAGCCGGCGAGACTGCCGTGGCGAGGGACCCGTAGGACCTCCAGTAGACGCAATACCCCTAGGCTTAGCACCCCCAGACTAAGTACCCTCTGGCTCAGCACCCCCAGGCTCCGCACCCTCAGGCTCAGCACCCCGAGGCTCCGCACCCTCAGGGCGTATCTTTGGTTCCGGTCATGAGCACTGTTCATTCTACTGTTTGGGTCATGCGTAAATTGCTCATGACCCGAAGTGGGCTGCCGAGCCGCGCGCGGCCCCAGCTTTGGGTCAATGAGCAGGTGTTGGGCGACTGACGTGCACGACCCACCCCCAACCAATCACCTGGTTGCACGATTCACGTTAGACTGCCATCTTTTTTGCCGTCGTCAGTCGAGTGCCACAATTTTGCAATGTACCGTAACCTACACCTCTGCACCCAACCACTCGGCAAATTGATCCCAGTGACCCAAGAATGTGTTTTGAATTTCCCGCGTCGCGCTCCCAACATTTGGGGATTCATGCCGACATTTTTTACGATTGTGTTTTTAGATGGGTGTCGCATGGTTTTGCGTGGGTGTAGCACATGATCTTTCGAACTGTTCTGGCATCCCTCCATTGGATGCGACTGTTGTTTGGGGCGTAATTTTGGCGCGAAAAAGCCTCGCGCCAATTTGGAGGTCGCATGAGTACCGAGAACCCAAAGTGGTGTTTTGTGTTGTTCGGGGCATCCGCAATTCGCGCATGTCTGGAACAGTGCTCATGACCCGAACCTGGATACGCCCTCAGACTCAGCACCCCCAGGCTCCGCACTCTCAGGCTCAGCATCCCCAGGCTCCACACGCTCAGGCTCAGCACCCCCAGGCTCCGCATCCGCAGGCTCAGCACTCCCAGACGCATCACCCCTAGAAGCACCACCCCCAGCAGCACCAGAGTCGACAGTAACCTCGACAGGCTCAGCCAAGGGGAGTGGGTCTACGTGAGACACACCTGAAGGAGCAGGACCCTGAGGGGGGAGGGGGTCTACCGGAGGGGGACCTGGAGCGAGGAAGAGCGGCGGGGGGGGGAGAGGGGCAGTGCGGTAGGGGAAGAGACGATAAAAGGGAACCGACTCGTCAAACGTGACGTCCTGAGAGGGCAGGACACTGCGCGTGGTGGGGTGGTAAAACTGCCAGCCAGGCGCGTCAGGGGGAAAGCCAAGGAAGACACAGGGAATGGCGCGGGAGGAGAGCTTGTCCGCGGAGGTATCGCGGACAAAGGCACGACAGCCCCAGACCCGGAACACCGACGCATCGCCAACCTCCCCCGTCCAACACAGTGTAGGCGAGGTCTCCGGCAAGGAGACACGGGGCCAGAGGTTGAGCTGATGCGCAGCTTACCCGACCGCAAACGGCCACAGAAAATGGGGAGCAGCCGCATGCATCATGGAGGTACGAGCCACCTCCATGACTAAGCCAATGCGGCGCTCAGCAATCCCATTTTGCTGCGGGGAGGCCGGAAGCGTGAACGACCAAAGGATGCCCTCCCCACGACAAAAGTCCCGCAGGAGGTCCACCAGCTCTGTGAGAGTGCAGACGCAGGACACGAAGGTCCTTGCGGAACCGCTCGCGGAGCTGGAGACGGACAGCGCGGATCCAAGGGATCAAGACATCAGGGACCTCCCCCTTGCTGCGCAAGGGGAAGAACGTGGTGTAACGCATGTAGTCGTCAACAACCAGCAGAAAGTAGCGCTCGCGGCCCTGTCCACTGACGCGGGCTGGGCCCCACACGTCCATGTGGAGAGTCTGCAGGGGAGCAGTCGTCGGGGGAATCGAGGAGGAGTGAGGAGCGGCGCGCTGCTGCCCCTCGACGCAAGGAAGGCAGGGCAGGGCAGGCGAGGGCGGGAGGGGAGGCAGAGACCTCGGAAGACCAGAGAGAAGGAGGCGGGAGTGCATGCCACGGAGGCGTGGCAGGGAGGGGTGACCAAGGCGGTGGTGCCAGAGGAGAGTCTGGTGCGAGAGGAGACGACACGAACAGGGGGCGACTACCTGACCTGACGCGGACGCCTGACCAGACGCAGCCACCTGAGTAGGCTCAGTAGTCAGTGTGTACAGGCTCGACCCAGGCCGACGGGTGAACGTGGCCAGGTGACGGCCCGTCCGTGCACACATGCAGATCGACACACGCTGACCCCCAGGAGTGGTGGTAGTGACCATTGCATCCTGGAGAACAGCGGTACTCACCAAGTTCGTAGAGAACGAGGGGAGGTGAAGACCTGAGAGCGAGCCAGACGGAATCGCCGGACACGGGAGAACAGTGGAGGAACGTGCAAGAAACGGGCCCCTTGAGGAGTCAGCCAGAGAGACTGCAACTGGTGCTGCGAGTGGTGTGACTGTGGTACTATCACGAAAGAAGCAGCGGGAAGCACCTGAGTCAAGCGTGAAGGTGTGCAAGGCCTCAGCAGGCGCAGTACCAGAGAGAGTAGACTCACTAGCACCTAGAGCAGCAGACTCTATACCTGGGTCGGGCGGCACACACAGGTAACAGTCACCCTCAGCACTAACAATCAAAGCATACATGGCAGCAAGGATAGTGTCATAGTCAAGAGCAAATATATCCACATCGTTCCTAAGCAGCTCTAGCAGCCCAGCCTCGTCACCAAACTATGCGTGCCAGGCGTCGTCAAGACGGGAGAAACAGCGGTACTGTGTGTGACCAACCTTCCCGCATGTCTGACCAGCACGGTCACCTGTGCGAATGACGTACGTGCAGCGAACACTACCCCCAGACGCCCCACGCTGAGCATACCACTCACGAAGCTCCTGGGGCGTAGGGGTCCCGCGCGGACGCTGCTGCTGCTGCCGCTGGCCATCGCCAGAACCTCCCCTCTGAACGGCTCCACCCCGACCGCCACCACTGCCGCTGCCACCATCGCCGCCGCCACCACTCCCACTGCCACCACCACTGCCACCACCACTCCCACCGCTACCACCACCGCCGCCACCGACGCCTCCACTCACACCACCACTCCCACCACCACCTCTGCCACCTCCACCGCCTCCACCGCCTCCACCACCGCCTCCACCGCTGCCACCCCCACCACTCTTGGCTCCCTTGCCCTTGCCGCTGCGGCGCCTCCCACTAGGAGCACACGCAGCCCCGACCTCCTCAGCACGAAGGAAGTCAACAGCAGAAGCAGAGGCGAAAGAGGGGGCAAGGGGGGAGGGGGAACACCCCTCAAAGAAGGGAGTGCGAGGACTGCCACGAGCAGCACCTACAGCGACTATGCTAGTCTCAGCTGCAAGGAGGTGCTTCTCGAGCAGGTCGACAGTGAGGGCCGTGGGGTCAAGGGTGAGAAGGAGGTCCCTGACTGCGCGAAGAGAGTCAGGGAGGCGGGTGCCGATGAACTAGAGAGTGATGACCTGCTTCCCCCCATCCCCTTCCGTGCTTCCCCCAATCCCCTTCCGTGCTTCCCCCCATCCCCTTCCGTGCTTCCCCTCATCCCCTTCCGTGCTTCCCCCCATCCCCTTCCGTGCTTCCCCCCATCCCCTTCCGTGCTTCCCCCCGTCCCCTTCCGTGCTTCCCCCCATCCCGTTCCCTGCTTCCCCCCATCCCCTTCCGTGCATCCCCCCATCCCCTTCCGTGCTTCCCCTCATCCCCTTCCGTGCTTCCCCCCATCCCCTTCCGTGCTTCCCCCCATCCCCTTCCGTGCTTCCCCCTGTCCCCTTCCGTGCTTCCCCCCATCCCCTTCCCTGCTTCCCCCCATCCCCTTCCGTGCTTCCCCCCGTCCCCTTCCGTGCTTCCCCTCATCCCCTTCCGTGCTTCCCCCCATCCCCTTCCGTGCTTCCCCTCATCCCCTTCCGTGCTTCCCCCCATCCCCTTCCGTGCTTCCCCCCATCCCCTTCCCTGCTTCCCCCCGTCCCCTTCCGTGCTTCTCCCCATCCCCTTCCCTGCTTCCCCCCATCCCCTTCCGTGCTTCCCCTCATCCCCTTCCGTGCTTCCCCCCATCCCCTTCCGTGCTTCCCCTCATCCCCTTCCGTGCTTCCCCTCATCCCCTTCCGTGCTTCCCCCCATCCCCTTCCGTGCTTCCCCCCATCCCCTTCCGTGCTTCCCCCCGTCCCCTTTCGTGCTTCCCCCCATCCCCTTCCCTGCTTCCCCCCATCCCCTTCCGTGCTTCCCCCCGTCCCCTTCCGTGCTTCCCCCCATCCCCTTCCGTGCTTCCCCTCATCCCCTTCCGTGCTTCCCCCCATCCCCTTCCGTGCTTCCCCTCATCCCCTTCCGTGCTTCCCCTCATCCCCTTCCGTGCTTCCCCCCATCCCCTTCCGTGCTTCCCCCAATCCCCTTCCGTGCTTCCCCTCATCCCCTTCCGTGCTTCCCCCCATCCCCTTCCGTGCTTCCCCCCATCCCCTTCCCTGCTTCCCCCCATCCCGTTCGCTGCTTCCCCCCATCCCCTCCCTGCTTCCTCCATCCTCTCGCACTCTCACTCTCCTTCCCCCACCCTCTGCCCTGTTCCCACCTAGCTTCCCCCCATCCCTGCCTTTTCCTCCCACCCTCCTTCCCCCACTCTCCTTCCTCCTGCACTCTCTCCCTCCGTCCTCTCGCACTCTCACTCTCCTGCACCCTCTGCCCTGTTCCCACGTGCCCTCCCCATCCCTGCGTTTTCCCTTCCCTCCCCCAGCCGTTCACAACCCTTCTCTTCCTTTTCATGCCCTACCCTTCCCCCTCACTCCTCACCTTCCACCCTCTAATGCCCATGCATGCTTGCTCACTCTCTTACAGGTGCCCAGCACCAGATGTGGCTTTACCACAGCCTGGTTTATTGCTTGCAGTGTAGCAGACAAAACCGGGAAGCAACATTAGACGCACACCCCCTATCTTTGTTCTTTTCTCGTGTCGAGTGATTCCCCTTGCTTTACAGATATGGTGATATATTGTTTGTTGAACTCCTTGGTATTGGTCGTGTGTATGACTGCTCTGAGGCTCATAATGCTGTATTATATATAAACAAAAAAGTTCCAATACATGGCATGGCTATACGTCGTGTTACTATCAGACAGCCAGCCCATCACAACCAGATGCATAGCAGACCTGTCCAAACACAAACCAAGAAGTCAGATGTGACGTGGCTGAAGTACGGTATAAGGGAAACAAGCATGCAAAATGACAACTGGCAAATGAGGAAGGGAGGAACGGAGGCGACGGAAGTGAGGACTGCAGGAATGAAGGAAGGGAGGAAGTGATGATGGGAGGAAGGGAGGTATGGAGGACGTTTGGGGAAGAAGCAGAAGGGAGGGGAGGAAGAGAGGCTGGGGAGGAGGGTGGGGAGGAGAAAGGGTGGCAGGGAGGAAATGAGGATGGAGGATGGGAGGAACAGAGGGAGGTGCGGCGGAATGGGGTGACCTTGAGGTGGGGTGGGGCGGAATGGGGTGCTCTTGGGATGGGGTGATGCGGTATGGGGCAGAGGGTGGGGGGAAGGAGGGCAGAGGGTGGGGGGAAGGAGGGCAGAGGGTGGGGGGAAGGAGGGCAGAGGGTGGGGGGAAGGAGGGCTGAGGGTGGGGGGAAGGAGCGTTGAGGTTGGGGGAAGGAGGCGTGAGGGTGGGGGGAAGGAGGGCTGAGGGTGGGGGGAAGGAGGGCTGAGGGTGGGGGGAAGGAGGGCTGAGGGTGGGGGGAAGGAGGGCAGAGGGTGGGGGGAAGGAGGGCTGAGGGTGGGGGGAAGGAGAGCAGAGGGTGGGGGGAAGGAGGGCAGAGGGTGGGGGGAAGGAGGGCAGAGGGTGGGGGGAAGGAGGGCTGAGGGTGGGGGGAAGGAGCGTTGAGGTTGGGGGAAGGAGGCGTGAGGGTGGGGGGAAGGAGGGCTGAGGGTGGGGGGAAGGAGGGCTGAGGGTGGGGGGAAGGAGGGCTGAGGGTGGGGGGAAGGAGGGCAGAGGGTGGGGGGAAGGAGGGCTGAGGGTGGGGGGAAGGAGGGCTGAGGGTGGGGGGAAGGAGGGCTGAGGGTGGGGGGAAGGAGGGCAGAGGGTGGGGGGGAAGGAGGGCTGAGGGTGGGGGGAAGGAGAGCAGAGGGTGGGGGGGAAGGAGGGCTGAGGGTGGGGGGAAGGAGAGCAGAGGGTGGGGGGAAGGAGGGCTGATCTGCGTCGCGTCGCAGAGCACCTCATCTCGCGTAGCTCTGCACAGCAGAGCAGAATAGAACAGCGCACTGCACAGCACTGCAGAGCAGAACAGAGCACACAACCGCACAGCAGAGCATGTTGTGTTGTGGCTCACCTGTAGCACGAGCACAGCAGCAGCTGTAGCACGCGCTTCCGGTTGTCCCTGTTGGGCTGAGGGTGTGGGGGCGGGAAGGGGAGAAACATGGGAGAGGGGGCGGGAGAAGAATAGGATCAAGGCTATGGAGGGAAATAAGGGAGAGGGCGATCGGGAGAGGAAACGGGGAACGTGCGGTGAGGGATGGGGAGGCGACGGAAGGGAGTGCGCATGGGCGGCGGAAGGGAGTGCGCATGGGCGGCGGAAGGGAGTGCGCATGGGCTCCGGAAGGGGTTGCGTGTGGGCGACGGGAGGGAGTGCGTGTGGGCGACGGCAGGGAGTGCGAGTGGGCGACGGAAGGGAGTGCGTGTGGGCGACGTAAGGGAGTGCGTGTGGGCGACGGAAGGGAGTGCGTGTGGGCCACGGGAGGGAGTGCGTGTGGGCGACGGCAGGGAGTGCGTGTGGGCGACGGAAGGGAGTGCGCATAGGCGACGGAAGGGAGTGCAGTTAGGCGACGGGAGGGAGTGCGCATGGGCTTCGGACGGGAGAGCGCATGGGTGACGGAAGGGAGTGCGTATGGGCGACCGAAGGAAGTGCGGGTGGGCGACGGAATTGGAGTTTATCGTGCGGGATAGAGGGGAGTGAGCTGGGCGACGGGAAGAGGGTGAGTGTGGGCTACCTCAAGGAGTGAGGAGGGGCGTAAGAGGCGTTGCGCGGAGGCGAAGGGAGGGGAGGGAGCGTGATCGGACGTCGGGTAAGAAGCGTGAGGGACGGGAGGGAGTGCTCATACTCTGTTGAGGGGTGTGCGCGAAGGCGTCGGGAGGGGAGTGCGCGAAGGCGTCGGGAGGGGAGTACGCGAAGGCGTCGGGAGGGGAGTGCGCTATGGCGGTGGCGGGAAGTGTGCGACGGCGACGGGTCGCGTGGGCGACGGAGGGGCATGAACCCGCGCAACGGCGACGATAAGAATGTCGCAAAGTCTGTGTAACGCGGAATGCTCTACTCTGGACAGTGCCGGGCGCGGCTAGAAACAACCGCGACATCGATGCGCCTGGCGAAAAGGAAGTGAAACCGCGGTCGACGATGGGCATGTGCACGTAAATGGTTCCTGCTCTTCCCGTGCAGTGAGTTCGCGATGTAAGGCGTGCGGATAGCAAAGGCGACTCAGCTCGTCGGAGAGCAGGCGATATACCAGAGCGTGTTGCGGAACCCTAAACTGACGTGGAAGTCGGCGCGCTGAGTCTCTTCTAAGCTATGACTTGCCCAAGTTTGGCCCTGAACTCTGTGTTTTTTGTCGACCTGAATTACAGATTTTGAGCTTGGTGTGCACACCTCCCCCAAGAGTGGTGGTGAGACCCCTGCGATCCTTCCCTACGCACCCTGCGACTTTCCTCACGTTTTGGAGGTGAGACCTGGTAACCACCCTGGTTCGGGAGGGGGGGGTGTTAACACCTCCAACTTTTTTTGTAATTCAGGCTGCGGGTTTTAAGATGGTATTAGAGTAGGTGATTCTTCTCCCTCCCACGCTTCCGCTCCCTCCCTTAGCCGGTCCCGAGGCGCCCGTCCTTTAGGCTCCGCCTCGTCGCGGGTAGGACGGCCCCCGCGGGCCTCGTTTTTCGTCGCGTTTAAAGGGCCCCGCTGGCCCTCGTTTCATCGCGCTCCAGCAGGGACCCCCCCCCGCGGGCCCGCGTAGTCGTGCTTAGCCCGCAACAGCCGCGCGTGCAAGCAGCAGGCACGCACGCACCAGCAGCAGCAGCGTGCGTGTTAGCCAGCGGCAGTCGCGCACGCCACTGCTGCACGCGCATTGCAGCAGCAGCGCTCACATTGCGGCAGCAGCGCATGCATTGCTGCAGCAACGCGTGCATTGCTGCAGCAGCGCATCAGAAACTTTACGTTGGGGTATCATCAGAGTTGCGGGGGGGTTTGTTTTTTAGGAGCTATGGTGAGGGCAAAGTGAGGATCAGTCGTCAAGAAATTTTGTTGGGCATATGGGTGTCTACTTCTTGATTTTCCTTGGTGGATATCCACACTATGTCTCTCCACTGCGAGATCGCGAGCAGTGAGTCTGATGCTTTTCGTTTTGCAAGGGTTGCCTAGTTTCTGAAAATACGTTTTGGAGTGGAAAGGAATTGGGAAGTTGAGAAATATCTGAAGTGGTAGTTGCGATTTGGCATCTTGACCCCCTTTGCCAGGTGGTTGTCGTTTTTGCTCAACATGGGGCGTTGACTATGCAAACCCCTGTCATTTTGCACAGCTGTCGAATCTGATTGTCCAACTGTCGAATCTGATTGTGCAACTGTCGATACTGTAAAATCTTGCAAGTGGAGTGTTGTCGTATTTTCCTTTAGGCTCGGTGCTTGACTTGAGTCACATCCTCATCTTGTGGTGCTCCCGAACAAGCATGTTAGGTTTGGCGCACGTATGTTAAGTGTTTCGTTGACGTAGCTTTGAATCTCACCACGTTTTTCGTTTCGATTCTCCCACATTCCAGGTAGGTTCAAGATTCGCTGACGAAAACCCAACGTCAAGACACGAAATTGGTTACTGTTTCTGTGTTGGACGCGAAAAGAATCAGTGGGTCTACGTGTCTGATTCCTGAAGGCCGGAATTTTTGCTGGTATCATCACTAAGAACTGCCTCGCTACATTTTGAATGCCTGAAAATCTATGCTATTATAAATTTGACACATCTATCAGCTGTAACAAGTAGGGACGGAATGCACGTTGCCCTTTCTCACCCTCTCACTCACTGCACGTTGCCCTTTCTCACCCTCTCACTCACTGCACGTTGCCCTTTCTCACCCTCTCACTCACTGCACGTTGCCCTTTCTCACCCTCTCACTCACTGCACGTTGCCCTTTCTCACCCTCTCACTCACTGCACGTTGCCCTTTCTCACCCTCCCACTCACTGCACGTTGCCCTTTCTCACCCTCCCACTCACTGCACGTTGCCCTTTCTCACCCTCCCACTCACTGCACGTTGCCCTTTCTCACCCTCCCACTCACTGCACGTTGCCCTTTCTCACCCTCTCACTCACTGCACGTTGCCCTTTCTCACCCTCTCACTCACTGCACGTTGCCCTTTCTCACCCTCTCACTCACTGCACGTTGCCCTTTCTCACCCTCTCACTCACTGCACGTTGCCCTGCACTCTGCACGCCACTCTTCCCACCTTCCACTCCCCACTCACCGCCCGACTTCTCCGGGTGGAATTGCACGGCCTGCACGTTGCCCTTCCTCACTGCCGCCATGTACGCCTCGCCATAGTTGGCCATCGCCAGCACCCACTCGCTGTTCCCAGGGGTCTGGGGGTGAGAAGAAAGGGAGGGGGAGGGGGGAGGGAGGAGCGGGAGGGAGGGTTATATGCATGGGTGGTACAACACATATGGTACGTGGAAGGTACTACCGCTGCGGACATACGGCTCGCCATAGTTGGGCGTCGCCAGCACCCACTCGCTGTTGTCAGGGGTCTGGGGGGTAGGCCATGTGAGAGGGGGATGGGAGGGGGGGTAGGCCATGTGAGAGGGGGATGGGAGGGGGGGTAGGCCATGTACGGTGAGTGCCATGGCTGCCCGTACGGCTTGTCTCTGCTGTCGCCAGCACCCACTCGCTGTTTTCGGGGATCTGGGGGGAAAGGGAGTGGAGAGGGGTGCGACGGGGTGTATGGCGGTGAGGGGGAGGGGAGGGAGTGGAACCCAACTGTCTTAGGCTCCCTAGGCTGGGGTGACGCGCAGATTTCATGTGGGGAAAGGAGGGAGGGAGTCAACTTTGGGCATTCTCACAAGTGACACGACAAGCATGGGCTAGGCGGGGCTGAAACACTGCCCGCATGTGGGGAGAGAGGATGCTTAGCGCAGCGAGCCCTTAGCCTGCACTGCACTGCAGTGCCCTTAGCCTGCACTGCACTGCAGTGCCCTTAGCCTGCACTGCACTGCAGTGCCCTTAGCCTGCACTACACTGCAGTGCCCTTAGCCTGCACTGCACTGCAGTGCCCTTAGCCTGCACTGCACTGCAGTGCCCTTAGCCTGCACTGCACTGCAGTGCCCTTAGCTTGCACTGCACTGCAGTGCCCTTAGCCTGCACTACACTGCAGTGCCCTTAGCCTGCACTACACTGCAGTGCCATTAGCCTGCACTGCACTGCAGTGCCCTTAGCCTGCACTGCACTGCACTGCACTGCCCTTAGCGTGCACTGCACTGCAGTGCCCTTAGCCTGCACGACACTGCAGTGCCCTTAGCCTACACTACACTGCAGTGCCCTTAGCCTGCACTACACTGCAGTGCCATTAGCCTGCACTATACTGCAGTGCCCTTAGCCTGCACTGCACTGCAGTGCCCTTAGCCTGCAATACACTACAGTGCAGTGCGACCCTAAATACCCCTCCTAGACAGCAGCTCCTAGACAGCACTGTCACTAAATACCCCTCCTAGACAGCACAGTCCCTAAATACCCCTCCTAGACAGCACAGTCACTAAATACCCCTCCTAGACAGCACAGTCCCTAAATACCCCTCCTAGACAGCACAGTCCCTAAATACCCCTCCTAGACAGCACAGTCCCTAAATACCCTTCCTAGCAGTGAGTGAGAGGGTGAGGAGGGGCAACGTGCAGTGAGTGGGAGGGTGAGAAGGGGCAACGTGCAGTGAGTGAGAGAGTGAGGAGGGGCAACGTGCAGTGAGTGAGAGGGTGAGGAGGGGCAACGTGCAGTGAGTGAGAGGGTGAGGAACGGCAACGTGCAAGCTGTGCAGTTCCACCCTGGGAAGTCAGGCGGTGCGATGTGGGGAGGGGTGAGGCAGTCAAGGCAGGAGGGGGGGGAGTGGAAGTACGGTGATTGCAGTTGAAACGCTGATGATCACCAGGCTGAAGCGCCTTGGTGAATATATCAGCGGTTTTGTCCCGAGTGGCCACGTAAGCAAGACGAAGCTGACCACGCTGCTGCAACTTTCGAGCAAGGAAGTAACGCAGAGTGATGTGCTTCGTCCGGTGCTCCAGTCTGTGCTCCTGACACAAGGCTACCATGGCCTTGTTGTCCACGTACCGAATTGGAGGAGAACGAGGCCGCTCTCCTAAGTCTGTCAGCAGGTAGGTGAGCCAGCGTAACTCCTGTGCAGCCATGGCCCCTATGTAGATCTCAGCCTCACAACTGGAACTGAGAACAGAAGACGAACGGGTAGACCGCCAAGAAACAGAGCCAGAGCAAAGGCTGAAAGTGTAACCCTGTGACGACCGCTGCGTAGCCAGGTCGTCAACCCAAGACGCGTCTGCGTGTCCAGTGAGGACAACTGGACCTCGTCCTCCAAGCACGAGCCCCATGCCTGATGTACTGCACAAGTAGTGCAACACCCTCTTAGCGGCCTCCCAATGCTCTTGTCGGTGTCTCCCGGGCGCAACGTAGCGTGCCAGGATGCTAAGAGGGTAGGCAAGGTCAGGTCGAGTGCAGGTCATCAGGTACATGAGGCAGCCCACAAGCTCTGGATACGGGCCACTCGGCCCTATGGACTCGTCCGAAGGTGGAGCTGAGAGCGAGTGACCGGTAGGCACAGGAGTGGACTGTGGCGAGGAGAACCGGAAGCCGAAGCGCTGAAGGATCTGGTGCACCATGTGTGACTGAGTCAGTGTGATGGTGTGCCGTGCTCTGTCCTGGGTGATCTGCAAGCCAAGATAGCTGCGCAGCTCACCCAGGTCAGTGCAGGTGTGTCTCTTCTGCAGCTCCGGGCCAGTGCCTCAGTGTCAGCAGTGGCAAAAACAAAGTCGTCGACGTACACGAAGATGTAGAAACAGCGAAGGAGTGGCATCGGCAGCGAAGTGTCGGTGCGCAGAAACAGCGACGGGTCAGCAGTCGAAGGAGCAAACCCAAGAGCCGCAAGTGTCGTCCTCGGTGTGTCGTGCAACTCACGAGGCGCCTGGCGGAGACCATAGACTGGCTGTCTGAGGCTCCACTGGGTACCTTCAGGAAACGACCCAGTGAAGCCACGAGGACGACGCAGCCAGATTTTTTAGTGCAGGCTGCCCTGTGAGAAAGCTGTGCTGAAGTCAAGAGAGTGAAGCTCGTAGTCACGCTGAGCGGCAACGTGCAGCAACACCCAAAGAGTGGTCATCTTCGGGGTAGGGGAGAAGGTCTGGAAGAAGTCAACTCCCTGTCGCTGACTAAAGCTTCGTGCAACGTAACGAGCCTTGAAGACAGGCGGAGAAACCGGCGGCCGCTTCACCCTGAAAATCCACATGCCATCGACTATGTTCGCCCGAAGAGGGGGAACTGCGTCGACGTAAGTGCCTGTGGACTTCCAGGATGCCATCTCTGTTAGAATGAACAAGTGTGTTTGAACTAGCAGGATTGGGAGTACAAGTAGGAAACCCTAGAATGTTGTACCCCCTAAGGCTAAACCCACTATAGCCTACAGAATATAAACATATACAATGTTTGACACACCCCCATAGGCTAAGTGGGAGACAACCAGATGGTCACAAGACCAGTCAGAGCAAAGCAAAGCAAAACAAGCTCAGGGTGGATCTCAAGGATGCCACACAAATTCCGAGCACAAGCAAATGGTCACAAGACCAGTTCACATGCAGTTTGATAATATAACAAGAGGTACAATGATCACAACCTAGCAAGTGTAAGCATGCAGGTATATATATAGAGATCACAGTACAAGCAGAGTCAAGAAGTGAGCAAGTGAGGGACAGTAGGCACAAGGCCTAGAACAGTACAGAAACGCTGATGATCACAAGGCTGAAGCGCCTTGGTGAACACATCAGCAGTGTTGGCCCGAGTGGCCACGTAAGAGAGACGAAGCTGACCACGCTGCTGCAGCTCTCGAGCAAGGAAGTAGCGCAGAGCGATGTGCTTCGTTCTGTGCTCCAGTCTGTGCTCCTTACACAAGGCAATGGCTGCCTTGTTGTCGACGTACAGCACTGGAGGAGAACGAGGCCGCTCTCCAAGGTCGGTCAGCAGGTAGGTGAGCCAACGTAGCTCCTGGGCAGCCATGGCTGTGGCGTAGATCTCAGCCTCACAACTGGAGCTGAGAACAGAGGAAGAGCGTGTAGAACGCCAGGAAACAGAGCCAGAGCCAAGGCTGAAGGTGTAACCCTGAGACGACCGCTGCGTAGCCTGGTCGTCAGCCCAAGAAGCGTCTGAGTGTCCAGTGAGGACAACGTCGCGCCGTCCTCCAAGCACAAGCCCCATGCCCGACGTACTGCACAAGTAGCGCAACACCCTCTTAGCTGCATCCATGTGCTCCTTCCGGTGACGGCCAGGAGCGAAGTAGCGTGCTAGGATGCTAAGAGGGTAGGCTAGGTGAGGTCGAGTGCAGGTCATCAGGTACATGAGGCAGCCCACAAGCTCTGGATACGGGCCACTCGGCTCTACGGACTCATCCGAAGGCAGAGCTGAGAGCGAGTGACCGGTAGGCAGAGGAGTGGGCTGAGGCGAGGAGTACGTGAAGCGGAAGCGCTGAAGGACCTGCTGCACCATGTGTGACTGAGTCAAGGTGATGGTGCGCTGTGCTCTGTCCCGGGTGATCCGCAAGCCAAGATAGCTTGTCAGCTCACCCAGGTCTGTGCACGTGTGTCTCTTCTGCAGCTCCGACTTCACGTGGGCGAGTGCCTCAGTGTCAGCAGTAGCAAAGACCAAGTCGTCTACGTACACGAGAACGTAGAACGGCGGCAGAGTGGTGTCGGTGCGTAGAAACAGCGACGGGTCAGCAGTAGAAGGAGCAAACCCAAGAGCAGCAAGAGTAGTCCTCAGTGTGTCGTGCCACTCACGGGGTGCCTGGCGGAGACCGTAGACTGGCCGCCGGAGGCTCCACTGGGTACCAAGAGGGAACGACCCAGTGAAGCCAGGTGGGCGGCGCAGCCAGATCTCCTCGTGCAGGGTGCCCTGTAGGAACGCAGTGCTGAAGTCAAGGCAGTGGAGCTCGTAGTCACGCTGAGCAGCGACGTGCAGCAGAACCCGAAGAGTGGTCATCTTCGGGGTCGGGGAGAAGGTCTGGAAGAAGTCAACTCCCTCTCGCTGACTGAAGCCTCGTGCAACGTAACGCGCCTTGAAGACAGGCGGAGAACCCGGCGGCCGCTTCACCCTGAAAATCCACATGCCACTGACAATGTTCGCCCCAGGTGGGGGGACCTCGTCGACGTAGGTGCCTGTGGACTTCCAGGAAGCCATCTCTGCGTCCATGGCTGTCTGCCACTGAGAGGAGTAGAGACCCTCCATCGCCTCTGCATAAGAGCGTGGGGTCGGGATGTCTGGTGCATCCGGGTCTCCCTCAGGGGCAATCAGCATGGACACGAGATGAGGTAAAGCAGCGGCAAAGCACTCAAACTCCTCCTGTCTGTCCTCAAGGACGTCCGTGCCAAGAGCACACTCACCCTCGACGGACGGAGGACAGACAGACTCAGACTCAGCAACAAGGCTAGCGGCGTAGTCTTGACGACAGGCGGCAGCAAAGTCAACAAGCTCAGCGACTAGAGCAGACGCAGCAGAGGACTCAAAGGAAGGGTCAGTGACAACAGTGGCAAGGAGACGCGCGACAGTAGGACTGGCAGCACGAGTAAGGTCTGACGGCGGGTCAGCAACGTCAGGAAGAGAGGACGCAGGAGGAGACGGCAGAGGGACACGCTGTGGAGCAGTGGAAGGACGCAGGGTCATATAGTGAGTGCCAAGGACAGGAGGAGGACGCTCACGCGGAACACGACGACCAGTGCGGGCAGCGCGGACAGGCGACTCTGGACGAGACTCAGGAGACGCAGGACTAGACTCAGGCGACGGAGGACGAGACTCAGGCTCACGACGCTCCGTAAGA